GTAGATTTGTGGAACCTCTTCTATAGAAGAGGTTAGAACTGGAAGGAACCCACCCCTGCCTTGAAGGTCATCTAGTCCAATCCTCTCTCCCACCCAAGCAGGAGACCCTACACCATTTCTGACAGAGGGCAATCCAGTCTCTTCTTCAAAGCCTCCAGGGAAGAAGCTCCCACAACTTCTGAAGGCAACTTCTGTTCCATGGGTTGATTGCTCTCACAGTCAGAAAATTTCTCCTCATTTCCAGGTTGAATCTCTCCTTGATCACTTTCCATCCATTATGTATATTTATTTATTTATTATTTATAGCCTTTAGGTGCCTTGGAAAACAACTTGACCCATTCCTCTCTGTGCCCCTCGTATATTGGAACACTGCTATCCTGTCTCATTTACATTCATATCATTTACATTCAGATGCTTGACAACTGATTCACATTTATGATGGTTGCAGTGTCCCCGGGGGTCCTCCTCTTAAGACCTTCTGACAAGCAAAGACAATGGGGAAACCAGATTCATTTAACATCCATGTTAACAATTTAAGGACTGCAATGATTGAGTAAACGAACGTGGCGAGAAAAGGCGTAAAATGACGCAAAACCCACTTAACAAATTTCTCGCTTAACAACAGAAATGTTGAGATCAATAGCGGCCGAAGATTGAGGACTACCTGTATTGATGTCGGACAGACTAGCTGTCTCTATCTGGGGGGGCTTGGCAATTTTTAATTTTAATTACGTTCTATTTGATTTTTTTGATACGTTTTAAATACGTAGCTACCCGCGTTTCATGCTAAAGCTGCCTAGAGTCGTTTGTTTTTCTGAGTTGGGTGCCTAAGATACAACTGTATAAATAAAAACGAGGCAAGAGAGGCTTACTTTTTACGCTGATAGAAATGTTTTCCCATCTGTGAAGGCAGCAATCTTCGAACACGATCATCGGACAAGAAGAGGGCAAACCGGTTCAGCAGCCGGCGTTTTGCTTCGAAGGGCTTGTATTCGGTTTTGAATGTTTTGTAAGAGATGACCTGCGGAAAACAAGAAGGGGACAAAGAACACTGAGAGCCCCCCCCCGTGTTGGGGCCCGACAGCTGCCGGCAGAGTTGAGATGATAAGGTTGGGGGGGAACATGGGCCAGTTCTGGGGCCTGGGGAAGGCTCTGATGGATGCTGAGGACCAGACGCAAAGACAGAGCTGACATTTCCCAGCCATCGGAGGCAGCTGCCTTTGGAGGGTGAGATAAGTGGGGAGGGAGAACAGCTGGGGCCTGCTCCAGATGCACGTATGCACAGAGCAGTTAGGAGAGGAGAACAACTGAGGACAAGGAATCGACTCGGGAATCAAAGCACACGTGGATGCTGAATGGTCCCTTTCTGGCTGGGGAATAAATAGAAGGCAAGGGGAGTGGTGGTCGTAGGAGACAACAGTTGGTATTTCTGAAGATTTTGGCTCACTGCGTTTGGTGCACACAAAGACTGCTTGCCAGAACTTAATTTGCATCTTTTTATCACATGGAACTGATAAAGTCTGTACTGCAGTTAACTCCTTGAGGGACTGTTGCCTGGACTTTTCAGTGGGTGAATGCCATTCATTCACAAGAAGAAAATCAAGAAGGGTTTTTCATGACAAGGAGTCTGTTTCTTGTTTCTGCTAAGACTGGGTCAGAACACCCTGTTCCTAGAACTTCCTGGTTACCCAACATGCATTTCACTTAACTGCATAAATGAATGGATGCAAGTCCCTGCTTATTTAATGTTTTAATGCACCTGTGTTTTTATGATCTATGCCCACCACCCAGACTTGCTTGACACTCAAGATCGGTAGCATNAGTCTCCAGCTGGCTTTAGTGGAACTAGAACTCCCTGACTTCTGGTGATTGGCCCAAAGTCACACCAGCTGGCATTCAGGGCTTAAGGTGAAACTAGAACTCATAGTCTCCTGGTGATTGGCCAGTCACTCAGTTGGCTTCAGTGGAACTGGAGCTCCCTGTCTCCTGGTGATTGGTCCAAAGTCTCCAGCTGGCTTTAGTAGAACTAGAACTCCCTGCCTCCTGGCTTCCAGCCTGGAGTCTTATAACCCAGTGTTTCTCAACCTTGGCAACTTGAAGATGTCTGGACTTCAACTCCCAGAATTCTGGCTGGGGAATTCTGGCTGGGGAATTCTGGGAGTTGAAGTCCAGACATCTTCAAGTTGCCAAGGTTGAGAAACACTGTTATAACCTACTCCACTACACTGGCTCATCTGCCTCGAAGAGCTGCTTTGATTTGATGGACGCTTTGATTTGATGGACGGGGGGGGGGGGGGGGGGGAAGGCCAGCCAGCCAAGCCAGGCAGTCCCTTATGACCTACCCTGCACGACTGTTGCGCTGGAGGAGGAGTCGACGGGCGGGGAAGTGAAACTGGCTCCAGCCGTGTCGGAGATGTCGTCCCGGAGCTGCTTCTCCGTCTCGCTGGGGCGGTTGACGCTGCTGGCGGCGAAGTGGGCGCGGGGGCGTCCGCCTTGGGACGGGACGGAGGCGGCGGAGGAGGAGAGCGAGAAGTGGGCGCTGAAGGCGCGGGCCAGGAGAGCCAAGCGCCGGGCTCGCCAGCTCTCCAGGCTCCAGGCGTCGCCGCTCCGCCAGCCCAGCCCCACGTCATCCCGCAGCTCCTCCCGCGGCACCTCCTGGTTGCCCACGTGCCAGAAGACCCACCAGGGCAGGCTGAAGAAGACGCCCACGCCGCCCAGGTAGATAAGCAGGTCCGACACCTCCGTCTCCAGCAAGCTGCCCGTCAGCAGCCCCGCCAAGCCCAGCGCGTCGAAGAGCAGCGCCAGCCCCAGGGCGCCCCGGCAGCGGCTCCACTTGCGCCGCTCAGACTCCGGCGCCATCCCCGCTCGCTCTGCGGGCGCCGGGAGGGAGACCCCCCCCCAAACACACACACACCCCTATGCGGGGGGGCCTGGCGTCACGACCCCTCTGAACGTCCCCAAGGTGCTTCCCCCACCCCGGACTTTTCCCACCCTCCCTTTGAAGACATTTGGCTTAGAATAGAAATCGGAATGGAATAAGAATAGAATGGAAATGGAATAAAAATAGGAATGGAATTAGAATAAAAAAAGAATGGAAAATAGAATAAGAATAGAATAGAAAATAGAATAGAATAGGAATGGAATAAAAATAGGATGGAAAATAGAATAGAATAGAAACAGGGATGGAATAAAAATAGAATGGAAAATAGAATAGAATAGAAACAGGGATGGAATAAAAATAGAATGGAAAATAGAATTGAAATAGGGATGGAATAAAAATATAAAATAGAATAGGAATGGAATAAAAATAGAATGGAAAATAGAATAGAATAGAAACAGGGATGGAATAAAAATAG